ATTCTACTCAGCAAGCCTTATTCTCTATAACTGAGATGGCGACAGCTACCTGCTCCTCCAACCGACGCTTGCTTTCCGTTTTCCAGTGTTCTTGTTCAGTGTGACTCATTTGCTTCCAATCGTCGGCTGCTCGTTCTACTAGTCGTTTCGACCCAAAGTTACAGCCGGCCTCGGCTTCGTAGAAAGCACGACGCGAATCCGCAAAGTACATGAAGCCATTCGACTTTTTCTTTGTCATCTGTGATATTTCATTAGTTAACACGACGATCAACGAAGTATTGTTGAAAAACAAGTTGAACGGACTTACGTAACAATGCAGATCTATCGTCGATAACAAACCGATCGCCAATAGCGGTGGAATGAAATTGAGATATACTGAAGCGAATAGCAAACAATTGATATGTTCAGGTCGTAATTTTGCTTTTATCACGTCAACTGCTTACCTCATCTCCTCTACAAGAAATCAGCCAAAAACATTTGCGCTAGCATAGCGATCAAGTACCCCATTAGTGATGACATCCTTGTTAGTACAGTCTCCCCAAATTCTTCCCGGACAAACATTTCACACCTCCAACGTACGCAAGTGCATCAATCTGGAAGCTCTCACTATAAATAGGTAAAATTGAAACTTATAGTCTCTTAACTAGAACTTATAGTCTTCAGAGGCTTAACGTAATTCAAGACTATTTGCCCAGTATCCAAAAGCGCAAACAACAAAACAAAAAATAAGCAAAATCAAAAGAACACCGAGCCAGTATGAGACGTGGCAGTCTGATAACGGCGCTTGAGGGGCATAAGGAACATTACGGCAACAACTTTGAAGGTAAGTGCGCAATATCAGAGCGGGAGACGGAGATTTCAGCGAGAAAAGCATTAGAGGAGTTCTGGATCTTTCAAAGAAATCCTAAAATGAACGGTAGAGATGAGTGCCCGTCTATAACCAACGACCTGCTGCAGTATATACCGCACTGTGGCTTATGACTCATTAGCACTATGACGTGATCTTCCTTATCACAAATATAAGGGAGACAGCAAGAAAGTCTCATTCGCTACTGAAAGTCGCTTGTGGCCTTTCATATTCGCTTGAGTGGTAGACCCTTAGTGGGTTATGTTTCAAATTATGGGTTTCCAATTCGCCGTAACATTCGCAAGGGGTAATGCGCATTTTGGATACTGCGCAAAAGTTTTGAATTGCTTTAAGCCTCTGAAGAAGACAAGAACGACGAAATGTCAAACGTTGATACATAAATTGTTCCGTCTAACAGCCCCGCACGGCATATGAATGTTGTAATTTTAAGTTATAATTTTTAACACAGTTCGTACGATCTCGCGACTGCCTTCGTAAACACGGCCCATCTTTGCCAGATG